TCTCCCGGGTTTTTTCCTTGTCTTTTTATTAGTTTTTATGCAATTTAACTCGTGCATAATATTTAACTTCACGTTTTAACTTTTAAATTTATTACATAAATATTTATTGAAAAAAATAATTTTTTCGCTCACCATGGATATCTCATACACAAAAGAAATATTAAAAAAAAATGAATTAACTCATGCTTTTATCTATCACGTCTAAAATATTAGGAACAAAAAACTTGATATACAATTCTCTCTCTCTCTTACTCTCTCTCTTTCTCTAGAAACCATTAGCATTTATATATATATATATATATATATATATATATATATATATATATATATATATATATATATATATATATATATATATATATATATATATATATATATATATATGCTAATGGTTTTTAATAGTAATATAATAGCAATAAAAGTATGCGTTAAAAGAATAAGTAATGAATATAGATTGCATAAACGTGTTTATTTGCTTTAGATAAAAAGTAAAATTGGTATTAAAGTCAGATGTTAAAAGAATGCGCAAAAATTTGATTAGTAAAAGATAATTTAATATAAAAAATTTCATCAGGGGGCCACTTGAGTTGTTGACGATTGATCAAAGAATAAAAATACTTAAAAAATTGATGACGCAGTATGTATGATGTAATACTTTAATATATGTAATAATATATATGCCTTAGATGACTTATACTTTTTACTAAATCTTACCCTTAGTTTTCTAAATTTTCACAACACATCCGCTTTGAAATATGCATCCTAATGTTAAATTTGAAACTATGCCACCTGCCTGGATATATCCACACAAAAAAAAAGAAAAAAAAAAAAGAAAGTTTTTTAAAAATTAAAATTAATCTAAAAATGATAATAATAATAGTTAAGTAGAGATTTTAAACAACTTCATCTGAAAATAATTTTTTTTATTAATATTTATAAAAGTATTAATGATAATATTTATAACAATAATAATAATAATAAAATAATAATAATAATAAAGAATCAGCTTTATAAATAAGTAGCTTATCAAAATTACTTCGACTTCAAAAAACTAAAGAAAAATTGAAACATTGATGAGAAACTCGAGAAACGAAAAAAAAACGACATAAAATTAATTGCAAACATTAAAAGAGAAAATGAATTTTTCCCCTTAATTACGAAGATAAAAACTCCTATTTTATATAAGAAATATAAAACCGCACACGCCTAACAATTCGAGAAATATTTTTCTAATTTTTTTCTTTTATTATTTTGTTTGAATAATATAATTTAATTTGCATTGAAATTATTTATCAGTTAAGAAATTCACACTTAATCAAGTTCTTTTGAAGCATTATAAATATTTATTCATCTGGGTTGCTGTTAAAACGAAAGAAAAAAAAACCATTTACCTTTTCTACAAGGTACTTCATAAATGTAAGTATATAATTATAATAGATAGTCAAAAACAAAAAAGATATAAACAAATAAATTTTAAAAAGATTCCTCCAAAATAAAAACGCTTACTTTTACATGCGGTTGACCGTTTTCTAACTGAAAGCACAGTTATTTCAACATTCTTTTGTGGTTGTAATCCATTTTATAAGATTTCAAAAGAGTGTATATATAAAAAAGAAGAAGCGTTTTAGCAGTAGGAGGATTCTATTTGAAAAGAAAATTAATTATTTAGATTTCATACATAAAAATATAACTTGCACTTGAGAAAGATTAATTAACGGTTATAATTTTACAATACATATAACATATAATATAATCAAAAAATATGCAGCAAAATAAAACGAACTAACTGTAAAATAAATATAATATAGTAGAATATAATTGTAGATAATTTTTTGATTATCAAAAACTAAAGAAAATTTTAACAAAAAGTTATGTATTGTTAATACAAAGAAAATAAAAATTTCAAAATGTATTTTTTAAATTATTAAAAACTTGGGAACATGTTGAATAAAATATTAGTATAAAGATATTAATAAGTTAAATTTAGTTTTGTAGTTGAAATTAGTATACGTGTAAATCTTTTTTTGTTAAAAAAAAAATAATCAGTTAACTTTTACTATAATATAACTGGCTTTGATGCGTTTTTAAATAAAAATAGATGCTTGGTTGTTAATATTAACAAGCTTTTTCGAGCTAAGCCAAATTGAAAAAAACAAAAACATTTTAGAGCTAAATGAATACTATAAACTTTTTTCTTTTTATATTCTATCAACTACGTTTACAATATTTACTTTAAACGAATTTTCAAATGTAGAGGAGGAGGCTTGACATTTTTTTAAATTTGCGCTGGCATTAACACTCAAGTGTTAAATAGATTATGCGAGATTAGAGAAACAAACAACATTATAAACTATATTTTATGTTTTCTAATTATAAAATTAAGATAAAAAAAAATTACAAAAAATGAAATGTTACAAAATCTAAAACTAAGATACACACAAACATTGAGTAAACACTTATAAACGACGGAAACACGTACCCTATAAAGCCACGACTCGCTAAACGAAGTTAAACAACGTAGCAGCGATTAATTTTTTCATAAATTACAATTTGCAACAATGATTTGTTTTATTTACAAAGCAAATATTATCTGTGGGTGAAAATTCTTTTCTTTAAACAAATGTTAACTTTTTTGTGTGTACTGCATTCAAAAAAATATTGTATTGCAATTTATCACCGTGAAATTCCTTTAGGTTGATATGTATACATACATTAAAAAAATAATATTAATAATGGTATTTATTTACTTATTTAAAAAATGGTGCTTTATAAACTCCCTGAAAAACTTATCTTACAGCAGAAGTCATAAAATATATTTTTTTTTCTTTTTTTAACGAGATAAGAATGGTTGCGCATAATGGAAGGAAAATAAAGTAATTTTTTATTTATGAAAATCGAAAAAAAAAAAGTTATAAATTATTCCAAAGTGAATAGTGTTTATGAATGTGCATTTAACATTTATCTTTAACATACGTTTTTAGCTTTGAATAGGATTGCTAAGGTTTTTTTTAAATACGTTATGGTGTCTTTAAAAAACAACTATTTAATAAAGAATAATAAAGTTAAAAATAAACTACAATTTATCTTTATTATGCACATAGCTATTTTGTAATGAATAAATTTTTAACTCAAAGATTTTTGAACATAATGCTGTACACAAATCATAACAACAAAAATGTGTCTGGCGCCAGTGGTGTAGCGATAGTCTTAAACGCCCGCAGCGAAACCTATATTTGTCGCACTATGCAGATTAAATTTTTAAAGTTTCAAATATCTAAAGGGGTTATTTATTTCATGTATGCAAAGATTTTATACAATATCTTTGTTTTAAAATATTCTTTTTAATTTTTTAAACCACTCCCTAAATTTTTTCAATACTTATATGAGTTTTTTTTAAAATTCCGCACTCTCTTCACACACACTTCAGTTTTTTAAAATTCCACACTCTCCTTTCTTTAATGAATTATTAGTTGTTTTCTTTAGTACATTCAGTTACTAATAGATTTTTATGATTTTCTCTTTAAGCTATTTTCTAACTTGGGATATTTTTTATCATTATTATTATTATTATTATTATTATTGCTATTATTATTACAACTACTTTATAATATATATATATATATATATATATATATATATATATATATATATATATATATATATATATATATATATATATATATATATATATATATATATATATATATATATATATTATGTAATAATAATAATAATAATATTATTAATTATTATTATTATCAATAGCTTATTTTATTTAATACCCAATATTAACTTAATAACTTTATAATAAAAAACTTTTTTTCCCATTTTACTCTTTGTTTTCGGAGATTTATCTATACAAACAAAATTGCATTTTTATACTTTCAGCTTTAACAAACTACTTTTGATAAAATATTAGAACAGAAACAATTCCAAAAACCTATGAATGCTAATTAAAATATTTCATTTGAATTACTAATATTTATATAATTTAAAGATCACGGACTCCCTCAGTGGTAGGCGGGCTACATTATGAACAACCCTGCTATGAAAGGTACATTAAGTTATAAAAAATAGAAAACAAATCAAAGCAGATTATTTTTACTGTTTGTTTGAACAAAATTCCTAACACAAATTATATTTAAAATAATTACTTAATGTTTGTTTGTGATTTAAAAAATCTTGTAGAGATTTTTCCAAAAATACATTTTATATATACTATAATAAAAAATATTAAAATTTAAGTAAGTATTAATTTAAGTAGTATTAAATCATGTATAATACTACTTTATATAGTTTTATATTAATGAGGTATAATACTAGGAATGGTAAGGGTATATTATTTTCAATTTTAATGCAAAAGCTTGATATAGTTGGAAGAAATGCACTTAAGTCCCTCCTCGATGTTTCAAAACATAGCAAAAATTATATTCATACCTTATTTTTTATTGAAGATATATCAATTATTATACAACAAAATAAGCTAAACTTATTTATTCGTTTGATGAACAATAAAATGACATATGATATTATTAGGTCGCAGCTGAAAAACAAAACAGCCCCACAACATTTTTTAGATAATATCAAAGGGCTGTGCAATAATCATGAACTAAATCTGGAGACAATAATGGAAAGTAAAAAAAAAATAAAAATTGTCGGCCTCAAAAATTTAATTCCTGAAACGGATCTTCAATCTCTAAAATGTGCAGTTGAGTACTGGAACTTAAAAGAGCAGAGAAGTATCTTCAAGGACATTCTTAAAAAACATATTCCAAGATGATCACGTTGAAAAAAAAAAAAAAAAAAAAAAATTCCAAGATTTTTTATATTTATCTTGTATGAAACTCTTAATTTACCTTACTTGTATAGTGGGTGTTTAATAAATCTGAAATAATATGGGTGTACAATCAGCGTTGTCGCAACACACTCGTTTGATAACAATCATCTTTTTAACAACTTTTTTTAAATTCCTGCAACCCAATAATGAAATAGGTGGTGCTCTGGACTTTGCCTACCCAATCACGGCATCTGTGTTTAAAGTATTCTAAAAGTAGTAGATACGGGTGTGAGAGCTCAGAGAATTCAGTAGTCTCTGTGCGAACTGAACTCTTACCAACATTGTAACATGTTAATGATGAATAATATAAGGCGGTTTTTCCAAGTAACTCCTACACCTTACAAGGACAAATTTTGCGACAGAAACTTTTCCACATCTTTAAAATTTTCTTGTGTATAGAAATTTAAAAACTTTTATGGAAAATATATAATTTTTATAGAACTTATTTGATATTCTATAAACTTTACAGTTTTAAAAATGTTAGCACATTAAATTTGTATAAAATTGTATTAACAAAAAGTTAGGACTTTATGTAATACTTAGGAAAAATTGTTTAAAATTTAAACACACACAAATTGTTTATATATATAATATATATAAACAAGTTATATATATATACATATATATATATATACATATATATATATATATACATATATATATATATATATATATATATATATATATATATATATATCAGGCCCGTAGGTACAAAAATTATATGGGGGGGGGGCAATACTAATGGGTAGGTCAAATAGTAATAGGTCAAAAATTTTTGTCAAAGGAACTTACGTCGAAAATACAGATAACAAATTAGGTTTTTTCTATCCTTCTTTTTATTTTATATCATAATTTGTAATTATTTGCTTTTTTCTACTAAACTAACTTGAAAATTATTTATTTGAAAAATTATTGTGGGGGATGGGGGGCAATGCCCAAGCTACCCCACCGTTTGCTACAAGCCTATATATATATATATATATATATATATATATATATATATATATATATATATATATATATATATATATATATATATATATATATATATATATATATATATATATATATATATATATATATATATATATATATATATATATATATATATATATATATATATATATATATATATATATATATATATATACATATATATATATACATATATATATATACATATATATGTTTGATGATACCCCTAAATATGTTCTATGTAATAAATTTATACAAAATTTAAAAAAAATTAAAAAAAAAATTTTTTTAAGGGGTTAATCTAGACCCTTAAACATCAGACGTGTCCCTAATGTTTTGAAAAAAAAAGTTCTTTAAAAGCATATCATGGTGGGTCTCAAAAAAAGTGAAATTTTATAAAAATTTTAAATATGATAAAAAATTTTTATGAAAACACAAATTAAAAAAAGTTTGTTTAAAAAAACTATAAAAAAATATTATTTTTTGTTAAAAAATGATAGTTTTTATGCCATAAAATTTAAACTAGTAATCTTATATAAAATGATTATTATTTTTAAAATTTTATAAAATTGCATTTCTTTTGGGACCCAACATAATATACTTTTAAATAACTTTTTTTTCAAAATATTATGGACCCGTCTGATGTTTAAAGATCTTGAGCGACCAATAAATTTTTTTTTTGTTTAAAAATTTTAAAAATTTAGTATTAATTTTTTACATAGAACACATTATCACCAGACATTTTCAAAAAATGTTGATTTATGACACACCCTAACATAAATATATATATATATATATATATATATATATATATATATATATATATATATATATATATATATATATATATATATATATATATATATGTATATGTATACATATATATATATATATATATATATATATATATATATATATATATATATATATATATATATATATATATATATATATATATATATATATATATATATATATATATATATATATATATATATATATATATATATATATATATATATATATAATGATATTCAATGAGTAAATAAAAATTTTAAACCCGCCTTAAAATTTAAGCTGCGACGCAGGGATCAATATACGTGCCTTTTTTTTTTCTTATGGAACAGCGTAAACTTTTTAAAAGCTACAAATAAAAACAATAAAACAATTATAATTCACAACAGCAATTTCAGAGCAATTAAAAAAAAAAATGCGTTTATTTATTGAGCGCTAAAATAGTTAAAATAAACCCATCACGATTTCATAAAAAAGCTTATAAAAAACTTATTTTTCTTTTTTTTCTTTTAAATATTATGTTGATTAATAAAAAGAATTATCTAAAAAGAAGGAAAAACTCCAATTCAAGACACTTAATGTAGTCGTGTTGTAGCAGCTGCCCTGTTTCATCGTTAAAAAGAAATGTTATTTTCAATATTTTAGTATAAAACTAACTTTTTATGTACTATCTTTTAAAAGCAAGCGCCCCTATCAAATATCATCGCCCTACCATATCAGCGCCTTTTATATTAACAAAAATGTGACTGATCAAAAAACATAACTATGTAATTTAAATTTTGGAATATATTTAGGTTGTTTAAAAGAAATAGAAATTATATAGTAGAAAAAAATCTTCTGTTATAATTCATCTTTTGATTTGTAATTAGCTTGCGCTTTCAGTTTTCAAAAAC